TTCTTGTCCTATAGATTTCAAAATGGGTGGTTGTAAGAGTGTTATTGATTAGACACAAAATTCCAAAAAAGAATTTATCGGACTTCATGAATCACCCAAATCCATCCAATTTGACATCTAATAAGTGAGAATAGTTGTGACCTCCTTGTACAAAAGATAAATGATCTCTTTGTAGACAATCCCAAAATTCTTTAGATGGCTTTAAATTTAGTTTTATATCTAATTATATAATTTTAAACTTCAAAAATAGTTTGAATCAAGTAAATCTATAAGCATATGAAAATCTTGAAATGGACAATCCGGATAATGTGTTGCAAGTGGGACTCAAAATCTTTTTGTTTTTTTTTTATATTTATATATCTCGATGTCGAGATGAACAATTAGAGGGTTTTTCAATATTAAAACAACTTTTTTCAATGGATTTTTGAAATGTAACTGTTAAGTTTATGTGGCCATTAAAGGCCCTATGAGTGTGTAATGAAAAACATTTATTATAGTGAAACATAAACTCAGTGGGAGTGTGGTCCATCGAGGACCATATTAAGCAAATAATGTTTGCTGATACCGGACTGTACTTGACGATTTAGGCCAGTCGGTTGGAAAACCCAATGTACCTGGGCATAAAAAATAAACCGAAAAGGGTTTTTAGGTTAGCCCTTGATGAAGACGGAGCTTATGCCTAGATGAGTGAGCCGAGGGAGTGTGTGATCTTTGTGTGTGATGGTAGGCCTATAGAGACGTGGGCCAAAACTTCATCCATGATCCATCACACGGCATGCATATAGATAGATTGTTTGGAAAAGCCAGCTATCCACCTTTGAGTGAAGTGTATACATTTACGAGAGATACCCCTATGCGCCATAGAGCTGAGGTCGCATCAGGTCATGGTAACTTGACTTATCTCTAGGGGAGAACCTGTAATCCACAGACTGGGATTGCGACTCTTTGGCTCATCAACCAGACTTTGGTGACTGGCTAATGAGCCCCTGCTTGGACTGTGGGTCATGGGAAGCACTGGGTTGGTTTGATAAAGCAAGTGTGGTCTGTAGTCCACATTTGAAGATGGAGTATCACGTGATCGTTGATAGAATTCCCGAACCATATAGATCCACTTCCCATCATATTAATTGAATCGTATTCATTTTATTATAGAAATTATTTTAGATTTATTATTTGAATTTTTATGAATCTTTCAATATTGTATTTATGCTTTTTGGAATTATAAAAATGAAGTTAATGATTTTACAAATTATATAAAATTCAAATAATGTTTAAATAAAAATTTAAAATATTTATAAAATTTTTATGGGGGCCCATAGTGCACATAGGCCCACCATGTGGCAAATGGGTGGGGGCCCACATATGCCACATATGGGTGGCACGCCCCACCCATTGCTTATTCTGTTATTACTTTGATATCAAGTTTTGTAATTTTTGGAAAATCCATCATATAAGCATATGGTCAAATATTGTTTGGGAAATATTAACCATATCTTATCTTGATTATTGAAGGAATATCTTGACTTCATATTATTGAAATATTCTTATGGAAAATATGAGATGGATTATGCAATTTTATGGAATGCATGATATTTTAATAGATTTAACTTATTTAAATATATTGATGAGAAAAATGGTTTAAGAAAAGGGGGATAATGGTTCATACATCTTTCATAATATTGCTGACTCATTTATGGAATGGATGACTCAGATCTCTCACCCTACAAGTCACATTGATCAACAGTCCATATTCAATTTCAAGAAAGAGGCAAACTATGGGAAACCCAAGACCTAAATTTCACTTTAAATAGGGTGCTCTCTCTCTCCCATAACCTCTCTCTCCCATCTCTAGACACCTCTCTCTCTCCCATAACCTCTCTCTCCTCTCAGGCTTTCTCTCTCTATCTCTTAAGACCCATAGGAGGCACACCCCAACCCTAGGTCTCCTTCTCTCTCAGGGTAACCTTAGGTCTCCTTCTCTCTCTTAACCTAAAGTTACTAAGGGTTGGAAAATTTAGGGTTTGAGCCTAATTATTTTGGAGTTAAGGTTTTATAGATATTTAAAGGTGGCTACCTAGTTTGGTCGAAATTAGCTTTTTCGGTTCGATATTGAAGCTAGACCGTTGATCCCGCACCATTGGATGTGGTGACTCGGTGTGGGGTGTAATAAGTCCAGTTGAGGTAATCTCTGACATCTTCTCTTTTACTTACTTGCTCTTTTATTTTATACTCTCAAGCATAGTATTATGTTGTATAAATTATTTTATTGTTGTGTTATTTTATTTTTGAAATATTTATTGATTGTAATGAGACCATCTGTAAGTGATATTTTTGTCAAAATAAAAAGGGGTGATTATTATCATTAAAGATAAAAAAAAAAAAAAATTGTATTCCCTGACAAAATATCCCATAGGTCTTTATTTCAATAACTTGCTTGTGCATTTTAAGGTTACAATGTTTGGAAACTTTTTCCTTTTCTAATAAAGTAGATAAAATATTTGATAACTCAAGTATGATTTGATAGATTTCCGCATACATGCTTGGGAGCAATTTCTTAAGTGAGAAAGAACTTTCCAATGAAGTTGTTTCTTGTTGGAAGACAGCTTCCCATGTTTGATTTGAAGTGGTAGCTACCATAGGATAGAGGATACGCTTTCCATACCTTTACGAGCGCTTTGTAATTTTGAGAAAGGGGAACTCCGACCTATTTCCGATTAGAAAGCGCTTTTTTGTATGATAGGTCCGGAAAAGTGACCTCTTTTAAAATAGGGAAATTACAAAAAGTATATTTTAATTTTTGTTTAATTGGAAAAATATATGCAACATTCATAGACCTCGTCCACATTTTTTTTTTCATTTTTTGTATTTTTTGACCAAAATAGCCTTTACAGTTGTTATATTACCGTAATTACTATCGCATTTTAACTAGTATTTAAAGTGTCGTAATAACTTGAAGTACTATACTCAAAAGACCGTAATGACTAGTGCATTTTAAAATGCCTTATCATTACAGTACTTTAAGTATTATAAAGACTATCGCATCTTATACGGTATTTTAAATACAATAACACTTTGAAGTCTTATTACGACACTCGAAATACCGCAATACTATCGTATCTTATAAGCCCCCTGAAACCATTTTCTTCATTACGCTTCTGTTTTTACTGTTTTAAGATGGTTTTGTTCTTCTTATTTGCACAAAATTCCTCGAGGCTCTTACTATCTGGTGCTCAATCTCTCTCCGGGTTTCTTTCCCCTTCATTGCCTCATCTCATCATATTCTCCTTTGAGGTAATAAATCTTTCCCCAAAATTTTTTTTTTGAGCAAGTTTCAAGAGGGTTTTGTAGCTTTCATCCAATTTAAGTACAGTGTGCTCATATATTAATTCAACATTGCCAATTTTAGGTTTTTTCTCTAATTTGGGGTAAATGGGGCAAGTTTTGTATTATAAAAAGAAGGAAATCTTCAATTTTTTACTTAGGTCAAGTATTTTAAGGTATCTTCAATGTAAGCCCAATGCACTATTTTCTATTTTTTTGTATACGCAATATTCATGTACTTTATGTTGTTGAGAAAAATATCTATGAGGCTTTTTTTTTTACAAGTATTATTTAAAATGTTGTATAGAATACGGTAGTAATTATTGTACTTGAAGTACCGTAATGCTAGTGCTTCACGGTAATATGACTACCGTGAAGGATATTTTGGTTAAAAAAAAAGTAAAAAATGAGGAAAAAGAGTGTGGACTAGGTTTATGAAATTTAAGATTTTTTTTTTTTTTCAAATTAGACGAAAATTAAGGTATATTTATGATAATTTCCATTTAAAATAAACATAGTTGGGTATGTTTTGTATAAGGCTGAGGCCCTAAATAATCAAAGTAGGGCGCACCTTCAAATAGTATCGAAAATTCTCATGTCCATGCATCTTGAAGGCGAGATGATCAATTTGAGGATTTTTGGATATCGAAACAACCTCCCTTTAGTGAAAATGTTTAGGTGCGCCTTAATCAGTCGGAACCAGACCAATTATCATTTTATTTTTTCCTTCTTTTTTATTTTTTTCAAGCTTATCTGATTTTGTCCATGGCTCCCCTAGATTCCCATCCCATAAACCTGTATTTTTAATAGGAGCAGTTTTGGTAAGGCCTATGCTTTATGAAAAGAAAGTAAAGCTTCACCTTGAATCCTTGTTTGGAAAGCACTTTGGGCGTCATAAAATCTCAATAATGGCTTTAAAATAAGTTTCCAACAACGATTATAAATTTTGAAGCTAAATAAAATGTAGAGATCTTGCATATCCGTGAACACTTATTTTTAGGGCAAAATGGACGGTCTAGGTAATTTGTTATAATATACACTTTTTTTTTTAGGGATGGAAATCCTACATTTTCTCACAACCATAATTAATGGTCAAGGCGGAATGATGGATTTGAAATTTTTTTCTATGTCATAATTGTAATTTTTAGTGAGTTTTGAGATGACCTATTACTTATTTTGACAGAATTACATTTCTGAAAATTTATTTTCTTATCTAATTATAAAAATTTAAAGCTTAAAAAATAGTGTAAATTAAAAAGATCAATTAAAAAATTAACATTTCATAAAAATAAATTACAAAATACACTAATTTTAAGATTTAAAATCTTTTTTTTTTTTAATTTTTTTTTTATAATATTCATACTTCATACGTATGGAGGTTGAGATAGTCGATATGAGAATTAATTGAGCATCGAATTCTTTTTCAATAGAAAACAGTTTGAAATCAAGGGTGGTCTTTCCAAAAAAAGGCGGGAGCCTAACGCCCCCGAGCCCAAATTTGGACCTTTCCCCAAAATGCCAGCGGGCTCAGCTCACGCTCTTTCTCTCTCTAAAAACCCACCTCTCTCTACCTAATTCACGTGTTTTCTCTCTCTACCCCACTTTATCTCTCTACCACCTAAATCCACATGCCACACGCAAAGCCCACGGAACCTCTCTTTTAGAAGGAATTCACAATTTTACAGAAGAGAGAAAGCTACCATTCAAACCTCAATAGATGTAGAGAGAGAAACACGTTGAATAAATAAAAGTTGTAGAGATAGAAACGTTGAAGAACAGGTCTAGAGAGAGAAAGCACGAGCTCCGTCCTTTTTCGGTCGACTGTAACACACGCGGGCAGGAAGTGGAGAATAAACTCTGCATGCATCTCTCTATCTCTCTCGAACTTTTGTTGAACAGTACTTTCTCTCTCTAAATTAAATCCTCATTTATTTTCTCACCCAACTTTCTCGCTCTAGAATTATGCTCTCTTTCTCTTCCACTCCCTGTGCTCCTGTCATTGTCTTCTTCGTTTATTTTCTAAACAAAGTATTCAAACCAGTCGCTTTCTCTCTCTAGCCGACTTTCTTGGGTCTCTCTGTCCTGCAATTTCCTTCCTCTTTGTTGGGGTTTTAGAGAGAGAAAATAAATGATTTGTTTAGGTTTGGAGGTGTTTTGGCTCTTTCTCTCTCTAAAACAGGGAAGTTGATGGACGAGGGGGAGTTTAGTGAGGGAGTTTAGAGAGAGATGAAGGGGTGGATGATCGAGGGGAAGGAAAGAAGAGAAATGAAACCCCTCCTATTGAAGTTGGGTGTGGCCTTTGCCATCTCATTGGCTGGTTACCTCTACTCCCATATCAAGACCAGGATCAATCCACCACCTCCTCCATCTACAGGTTCTCTCTCCTCTCTCTCTCTGCTCTCTGTGATTTCAATATTCCTCTCTCTGTGTGTCTCTATGATCTTCCTCTGAATTTCGAAAGTTGTTTACCTCTCTTTCTCTCATATCAATTCCAGATTTCAAAATTTGTTCCTCCCTATAGCAATCTCGGAGTTCGAAAATTTCTCTCTCTGAAAGAATTTTCGCCTCTCTCTCTCTAAAGCAATGTCAAACGTTTTTCAGGGAAGGCACAAACGAGCAGAAGAGAAAGCGGGGGCCTTAAGGAGGAACTTCAGATATTGAATTCCTCCACCACATCAACTCCCTTGAAACATGTATGTCATTCTCCCAGGTTTTCTTACAGGAGCAAGCTTTAATGGAATTTCATGTCGACTTTGTCATCTCTCTCTCTCTCTCTCTCTCTCTCTCCTCTCTCTCTCTCTCTCAACTGTTGAGTTGGGGTATCCTTTCTCATTAATTTGTTGTATTGGATTGTTTCCCTGTCTCTCTTGAGTATGTTGAACTCATGTGTTCCTCTTTGTGTTGATTTTGTTGAATTTGGGTTTTCATTTCTCTCTATTGTATTTGTTGAATTTGGGTGCTTCTCACTTTTGTTGAATTGAGTCTCTCTCTCTATTGAATTTGTTGATTTGGGGTGTTTCTTTATCTCTCTATTGAAAGTGTTCCATTTGGATGCTCTCTCTCTCTCTTGAATTTATTGAACTGGGATATGCTCATTTATTTTATTCAATGATCCTCATAATTTTCAGTTTGGTGTATCCCTTATCATGCGTTTTTATAATGGATTTTGCAGGAAGAACAAGCCAGGAAACTTGACAACGCTGGTTTCTCACCATGCAGCAAGAGTTCAGGGGATGAGGAGGGCTTCCTATTGCCTGAATTCAATGAGATTGTATTGCGTGAATTTGGTGTTGCAGAGACAAACTTGGGCTCTTCATGTATCCCTCAAGCCAAAGACGGGAACACAAAACGGGCAGACAGCAAGGAGGAGATGGGCTTTGAGCAAGAGATATGTCGGTTGAGGAATCTTGTTCGTGTTCTTAGAGAGAGGGAGAGGAGCCTTGAGATCCAATTGCTCGAGTATTATGGCCTTAAAGAGGAGGAGACAGCAGTTCGAGAGCTTCAGAATCGATTGAAGATCAACTCCATGGAGGCCAAGCTTTTCTCTCTCAAGGTTGAGTCGCTGCAGGCTGAGAATCGAAGGCTTCAAGCTCAGGCCTCCGACTATTCAAGGGTCATGGCTGAAGTTGAATCAGCTAGAGCCAAGATTAGGTTATTGAAGAAGAAGATTCGAGTAAATGCAGAGCAAGCAAAAGATCAGCTCTCGGTGATGAAGCAGAGGGTTGAAATGCTTCAAGCTAGAGAGCTTGAGGCCTCGAAAAATGATCAAGAAACAGTGAAGAAGTTGCATATGCTCAGGGATTTGGAGGATCAGATCATGGAATCAAGGAGAGAGAATGCCAGGTTGCAGCATGAAAATTCAGAGTTGATGTTGAGAATTGAGAGCGCTGAAGCCCTTGCTTCTACCTGTTTGGCTGATCCAGAGGTGGGTTATGTGTTTGGGTTAGGATGCTGTGTGTGTGTGCATGCGTGTGTGTGTGTGTTGTGTGCATGCGTGTGTGTGTGTGCTCACGTGTGTGTGTGTGATGAAAATATGTCTAATATTAAGTTCTCTCATCATAGGTGGGGGCAACGGAGGAAGCCAGCCTCTTGAGAGAGAAGAATGAGAACCTGGCCAAGGAGTTAGAGAGACTCCAGACTGATCGCTATGCCGATGTTGAGGAGCTCGTTTACCTACGCTGGGTCAACGCGTGTTTGCGCTATGAGCTTCGAAATTATCAGCCAACTCCTGGTAAAACAGTGGCTCGAGACCTAAGCAAGAGCTTAAGCCCCAACTCCGAAGAGAAAGCCAAACAACTCATAATTGAATACGCCGGGACTGGAATTGAGGACAAGATGGTTTCCCTGGATTTTGATTCTGGGGACTGCTCATCTTCATCCACTCTTACTGAGACATGTGAATTTGATGACTCTTCTTTGGATTCCCCTTCTGGTAGGCAGAGCAATTCGGGCAAAACAAAGAGCAAGTTTTTTAACAAGTTGAAGAAGCTGGTGAGAGGAAAGGATTGGTCGAGAGAGCCATCTATTGAGAGGGCTTCGACAAGCTGTGGTGCCTCAGAGAGAGGAGGGTCTCTTTCTGTTGCTTCTTTGGATGAAATTATGGGCACGAATTCAGGGGAGAGCGCAATCTCTTGTATTACAGGTGAACGTGTGCAGCTTGAGGGAACCATAGTGAATAACAAACCAAAGAGGGCAACTTGTAGATCTCAAAGTATGTCACTTCCTTCATTAGAGATAGACAGACAAAGGAAACTAAGCCTGGATGATATGAGGGCATTTACATCCAAGCTGGGGAATGTTGATGCCAATCCGGGTTATGGAGTGGATCGCTCAAAGAGTGTTGGTTTTTATGATAGTAGTGTGATGGGTATACATCAAAGTGATCACATGGATCATGATGCGATTGCCCGAGAAAGATTGGAACTGAAGAAGTTTGCTCAAGTTCTTAAGAACTCTCATAGGGCGTCATTCTCATGAAGAACAACATCAATCAGATCTTTTTAACGTTGAGAAAATGCATAATATGGTCTCATCGAAGGCTCCAACCTTACAAGTTTAGTGCTAAAATGTTAAAAAAATACTCATACATCATGGAATACTGAGAAAAGGGATTTTCCACTGGCGATATTTATATGCCTTTGTGGGGGAAACCAGATTGGGCTCTTGAAAAATTTGCAATCTTAGTTAAGTCTGTGACTTGAATCCCATCACATGCGGGATTGGAATTCTTATGTACACATTCAAGATCCCTCCGATGTATATAGATCATCCATCGTATTCAATCATTTGTTATGTATGTTAGTGCTACCTTTTAAACCAGCCTAGAAATATGTGCAATAATGTAATCCTCAAATCGATGGTATCAAATGTACAATTTATCTGCCTTTGAGGCACGGGAGAATTTTATTTTTTTGAGGCTCGCAGAGTCTATCCTTTCTTCCTTTGACACCATCAGAAAAGGAAAAGTTAGGATCTGGGCCAATTTTTGCACTAAAACTTCATTAGTACTGGAATCCTGATGCTTCTCATAATATTTGATTGTATGCTGAAAATCAATGATTTGTGATAATATAGAAGCAAGAATGATTTTGTATGTAATGAATTAGGCTTTTAAAATAATTTATATGCAGTGCTAACCAGTAGGCATCATAGCTTAGTTCTTATTTCTATGGTTATGCTTGTGCCAATTTTTTGATGTGTCTAATATAGGTTGGTCTCTGACCAGCTGTGATGGTCGTGGAGTGGTGCTATGGTTCTTCCCAAAATGATGCGACAGATTACTGAGCCAGTCTTCCATTTACGAGTTTCTGATGAGGATCAACAACAGATTTGTGGCAAATGGGCTATAACTATGGGATCCTATGAGCTATAGAAGTGCAACCATGGTCATGAAGAATGCGAGAAAACCATGCTCTGCCAAATGGGCTATAACTATGGGATCCTATGAACTGTAGAAGTGCAACCATGGTCATGAAGAATGCGAGAAAACCATGCTCCCCAGATAATTAACTACAAAAAGTAAAATGACTTGAATTCCCAGCTCTGTGAATTTCAATGGCCATAGGTTTCATCCTACTCATCTTCTTAAGCATATGGGCTGGAAATGGTAAACTAAAATTATGCTCAAAGAAATGAATGTGGGGTCAATTAGGGTTTATAAACATGTCCACAAGGCAGTTGATATGAAGAGGATGTTGAGAACCTCATCCAAAAGGAGAATCAAGCATGGTTTGCTTGGTCTCCTCGTGAAGTAGAAATCAAAATCCTGAAGTAAAATGTTAGCTGGTTCAATGTCAAAGTTCTCATTTTCTGTGAACCAATTTGTGACTCTTATCCAGAGGAATAAAAGACATGAAAATTTCGTTTTGCATTGCCTAAGATGAGATTATAATCAACTTCAATGAGTAAGAAGCAAATCTAGGGCTTAAAATTGCAGACATTGAATACAAAAATCAAAATCCTGAAATAAAATGTCAGCCGATTCAATGTCAAAAGTCTCATTTACTGTGAACCGATTTGTGAGTCTTATCCAGAGGAATAAAAACAATGAAAACGTCCATGTGCATTGCCTAAGATGATATTATAATCGACATTAATAAATAAGAAGCATATCGAGGGCTTAAAAAGTGCAGATACGACTGCAGAAATCAGAATCCTGAAGTAAAATGTCAGCTCGTTTAATGTCAAAAGTCTTATTTACTTTGAACCAATTTGCGACTCTTATCCAGAGGAATAAAACACATGAAAACTTCCTTGTGCATTGCCTAAGATGAGATTAAAATCAACATCAATGACTAAGAAGCAAATCTAGGGCTTAAACACTGACTACAGAAACTCATAATAGAAGATACTGCTGGTACTGAACTGAATATCCTGGACTCGATTCTGTGTGCTCCTCATGATCAATAACTTTGGGGGAAGAAGTGCATATTTGACTGGCCTCGAAGTGCATGCAGGCCTAAATGTGTAGAGGGTTGTAAAGGGTTGAAATGCATAAATGGATGGAGGTTCTGAACATAGTAAGCACTCCAAAATGTGTGCAGGACCTTGGGCTCCTCTGCCTTCAAAGCAACCATATTTAGAATAGAAGAGGATATCATTATGCGCTGTGTTCAGTCTGTACTGTGCGTCCAATGTCCACCTCAATGACAAACATCGAAGATGACCTGTTCCTTCCATTAGATGGACAATGGTTTTCTTTTAGTCGAAGAATGGATCCCCTCCAGATTAGCATACTATAGACACATGTAACAATCAAAATTATGGAATGTTTACGCTCCAATCTGCACCGATCTCTATAAGAGATCAACTCAAATCTTTGCAAGAATTCCTAAGGCGGTGTCTACGTGAAAATTAGATATGTATTCTATACTTTGCAGTGCATGACCACTAACCATACTTTTTCGTTGGAGACTATCTCTAGATCATGAGAAAGCAAATTTTGACCAAGCCATTTCAATAGAATATGAACCCCTTTGATCACAAACTGAAACCCTATGCAAATTCTCTTAGCTACCTAGTTTGAAAGAGATGAATTTTCTTTTTGGTAAACTCTCAAACCCTTAGCCATAAATCCGTATTTGAGAGATAGAAGAGAGAAGAACTCCATAACCTAAACCCTTAGGTTCTTTCACAATGTGGGAGAGAGAGATCAAACATGAGAGAGAAATTTTCTTAAGAAAGAGAAATAGAAAGATAAAGTGTAGAGATTTTTTGGTAGAGACAATCCCTTTTTATAGGCTTTGAATAATATTAGGGTTTCTTAGGGTTTTCTTTGGTTTGCCTCTTCTTATGATATTGAACGTAGACCGTCGATTAAGGGTGACTTGTAGGGTGAGATATCTGAGCCATCCATTCTATAGAAGAGCCATCAACATTATGAAAAGTGCATGAACTATTATCCCCCTTTCCTAAACCATTTTCTTATCAATAAATATATAAAATCTCATCAAAATATTGTGCATACCATAAAATAGAACAAGTCTTCTCAATCTTTTTCACAAAATCTTTCAAAGATATATCAAGTCAATACCTTCCAACCATATGGCTATATGCCATGTCACCAAAAAAATAGGAAAGAGAAAAAGAGTGGGGCGGGCCACTCAAGGGAGGCACTCATAGGCCCCACGTTCGAAAAATATGGTGAGCCTATGTGCACAATGGGTCCCCATGATATTTTTATATATTTAACATTAATAAAAAGATTTTAGAATATTATTTGAATATTTAAACAATTGTAAAATCAATATCTTTAATTTTATAAATCTACAAATTATAAATAAAATATCCAAGGGTTCATAAAAATTCGAATAATAATCTTAAAATAATTTCTATCATAAA